TGATAGTGATGAATATTTTTCGGGAGTTCGAATTATGGAAATGTCAAAGATATAATTTTGCCTGGCATCTTGTACTGTTCCAAAGGGGATTGTTGTATATTGAGGACTGAGGTCAGGTAAGTAGATAATATGTGCCAAATTACATATACTATTTATTAGTTATAAGCTTTTAATAAATATAAATTCTCAATTCACATTAATACAGCTTATACGAGATTACTCATGCTTACCATCTCGTCAGGTGCGTTCCAATTCAATGCATTTAAAGTATTTTGGCTGCTATGTTGTATGCCTTATAGTTATGGCAGAATGAGCAAAAAGAAAGAAAATGATTACTCCCTCCGCATGGCCTCCTCTGGTATCTATTATTTTTCTTCTACCAGTATAGAGGCACAACATGAAATAAATTATTCATTCATAATGTATCTTTAGGACCGTAATATACAACCGGCCGTGGCGGGGCGGGTGGCCAGTGCTAGCGACAACCACGGATGGTGTAGTACAGGACCTGCGGCGGGTGCCCATCAGCAAGATCAACATGAGTTTTTCGTTCAGCTTCACATGACTGTTGTCGTCACGTGACTTATCGTCAAGGTCCATGTCGTCTCCTCTGACGCCGGCTTTACACTCTCCGCGTTCCTCTTCAAATTCAGTGTTGATTTATGAACGAGAAATTGACTTTGTCTATTTCTGAATTCCTAATGTTATACATTGAGTTCAATTGTCGGTCGTGTACACAATGCAACATTTTATTTCTAAGTTATGAACCTGTGCATATAGCTACATATACTATAGTGAATTCCACATACAAGTCAATCGAAAGAGTAGAGCTAGAGATAATTTAACATAGATTCGATTACTGCTTGTATATGAATGCACTTTGTTCAGATCGGATCAACTTTATCACATAATTAGAATATGTATCCCCGTATCAACCAGAAAGTAACATAGTGACATAATCGTGGAGATGCAACATGGGGAGAGGGAGTTCGAGGAAGCCAACACTGGAGCGGCGACACCATCAGGACCGTAGAGGGGACACCTGAGAGCTAGGTGATATTGGTAGCCGGAGGAGGGGTGGCGAGTGTGGCAGGTGGGGAGGCAAGGTGAGGTTGGTGCTGCTGGATCGTGGAGGAGGTTTACTTGAAGTGTGAGAAGTAGTATTTTGTTTCGGTACAACAGTTTAGCTAAGTCTACCGTTCACTTGAGATTATGTGGGATGTGGCATGTCCACTTGTCCCGTCAAAAAATATTTGGACACAGTGGAGCTCACACTTATATTATGCGCTACATGTGGAAGTGGATGGGGATGGGGATTGGGGTTGGTATGTTTAGTTACAGTTGATTGAGCGGAATAATTCCCATACTTTCAAAAATGGGGTAAATTATATTTCATTAGATGGTTTTGTAACAAACTGCATGAATGAGTGGTTCATATATTTTGTTTATCAAGTTGTACAATTTTTTGGATTGGACAGAAGGGTAAATAAATTGATTGGTTGCTTCAAGAGTTAATAAAGGACACAGTGACGTATCAGTTGCATGCTGAACAACGGACATCATATTTTCCTTTCGTAGTAATGCATGACATTCAACAGTATATTACAACGTGGAAATGGCTTAGAAGACGTCAGATCTACCATCTTGGCTGGGGGCATCACGGGGGTGCATGCCTCTCCTTCCCCTTGATGGCGACGGTGGATCAGCAAAAACATGTGGGGAGGGGATTAGGGTGGAGAGCAGGGAGGTTGGTAGAGGACTAGCGAGAAATGTCTCACTACGACAGGAAACCAAGCGAAGGGGGGGGGGGTCCGACAAGAAAAGGGAAGGGTGGGTCGCAAGGTGTTTGTTTTGTGTTGGGCCCACATGTTGGAGTTAACATGGTGGATAGTCCGGAAAACCACATTTACCCCCATATATGATCTGGATTTGAGGGAGCCCGGACTGTCCAGACGTTTGCGTTATGGGGAGTCTGATGGGCGCATGTTTAATGTCCGAAACAAGCTCGAATATACGAGGGACAAATAAGTTTCGATCTTGAAGGCGACCTTCATTATTTGTGTGATTCATTTATACGCATTATAGCCCATAGCAACGCACGGGCGTTCTACTAGTCAAAGTAATTCCTATGAACTACTATAGTGTGCACCAAAGAAAAAGATGCCATGAGAAGAAAATAATATATATGCTTAACAACTCACAGACTAATGGGCATGCTTCTCAATCCAAAGCATGCATAACTCCATGGAGTTTGCCGACAAGCTGTTCGGGACATGTCGCTGCAGAGCAACATTGAGCCGGAGGAAGGCATTAACAAGGATCAGCTCAAGGAGTTCTAGACGGAGAAAAGCCCGAAATGGGAGTATCCAAAAAGGTTTCAGTACTGGGAGGCAGGTAATGTGGTGTGGCAGGACCAAGGCAGAGTAGGACGGGAGGACGATTGGAATGGGAGCCTTGACTTTTATGATTGGTTGACGTGCAGCAATTGCTAATTGTTATTTGCTTCGAACAGCAATCTAGGTAATTTTATACTATCTCTTGTCATACATCCTTCTGTGTTTATCTTAGTGTTAATTTGACTAATTTTCTAAATAAGTTATAATATAGACAAGAATAAGTATCCGAATTGTTGCCATGGTGCCAATGCCAAGTCTAGCAGTGGATTAAAAATTTAACCTATGAGATCATTTTTGTCAGTTGTACATAGTATAACCATTAATTCGGGTGCCCTAGAGTAGCGGAGTAAATGATCCAAGATTTAGTTCGAAAAGTTGTCTTAGCCCGTGCAAAGGTTAAGATTTTCCTTTAATGTATAAGCTTCTAGGATATACTATAGCCGTCTAATGTTAACACTGAGAAAAAATAACCTCTCTGTGTGTGTGCAAGCGAGCGACTGGGTGAGAGAGATAGAGAGAGGGAGAGAGAGGAGAGGGTGGAAGAGTGAGCGATTTTGGGAGAGGGAAGGGGAGAGAGAGATACGAAGGGTGGTAGACACAGGGGGCGAGAGACAGATATATATATATATATATATATATATATAGTGTGTGTGTGTGTGTGTGTGTGTGTGTGTGTGTGAAAGTGAGGTTGTAAGGAGAGAGGGCACTTGCATATTACAATGAGACAGAGTGGAGTGATAGAGAGCTTTAGTGTGAAATATAGCACAAGTGCACAATTACGTGTTTGAAATTCAAAGTGTTTTGATTGAGGTGGAATGAGGGAATGAGAGCCCGATATGTCACTAATTGAGGTGGTGGACATGAACATGGGCTGCGGACATAGTTGGTGGAGAAAGAATAAGATGTTGAGTGATTTATTGGTAAAAAAGTAGACCTCAGATGTGCACAAGAAATCCATAGGTACATGTTAACTTGATTAAATATTCATGCTAATTATATATATTGTTGTGCAGGATGGTTATGAGTTGAGAAATAACTTTTTATTACATTTGCTGAAGTGCCATGCAAATAAAACAAAAGACAATATTCCTAATCATGTAAGGGAATATCTTAATCGCATCAAGTAGATCTTAGTTTGTAACATATAATTACATGGCCATATATACATTGTACATTGCAGGTGATGTGGATTTCCATTATTTTTTAATTGTTGAAGGCTATATTTTTTATACATGCGGAATATAATATACATTATATGCGTAACTAGAAAAAATCTATACATGCCAAATTTGATTTGCAATGTATTCATAGGGGCAATAAAAAAAATTAAAAGCTCGTGGCAATGCACGGCGTTCGACTAGTAAAATTAATCAACCACTAAAGAGATCCTATAATTTATTGTTCAAACATTAGAAAAAATAGTTAAGAGTTGGTGTGTTCATCCTTGATTTCGCTGAAGACCTGAAATCGGTCCGATGTAGAACTCTTGCAGATTCAAACCGTAGTATTGAGTATCTAAAAGGAAGAGGCATGCTTATCTGAAGAGAGCGCCCACTATTCCAGCTTCTCGAACTTGACTTAGCACACACACTCACACTACTATCAACTCGCATATGCCCACTTCCCAAATAATTGAAGTTTTATATTTGTCCTATGTTACACTAGTTTAAATTTGACCAACTCTATAGAAAAATATGCTAAGACCTACAATATCAAATACCCATAATATAAAAATACATTTCATAAAGAATGTCAAGATAACAACTTGGTGTTCAAGATGTTAATATGTTTTCAAATAAGTTTAACTTTGGATAACGAGAACTTCAATTATTTTTGAATGAATGTTGTACCAAGTAATCATATATTAAACTTAGAGCAATGGTAGCAATAGATAAATAATAGAAAAGGTGTATACTTAAATCAATGTTGAGGATATGGCTTATTGTTAGCGTCTCGGTCAGCTGGGGATTAGAGATTAATCGGAAATCAACCGATTAATCAATTTTATCGGCCGACTATTAATCAACCATTTATTTTGCAAATCCCAGGTTCCCAACACTAACATATGCTATATTCATCACCAAACAATATTGGACAGAAGTGTTACATTGATTCCTAGCCTTTGAATCCTCGTATAATGACAAACAAAATAGGAAAACATTACATATTATGTAACAAGGTCCACAAAACACAAAGAAACATAGTTTGTGCAAACATAGTGCTATGAATAGGCCCGATTTATTGGTAGATTCCCGGTAAATCGCTTGTCAGAGCTATAAATTGTCCCAAACGGTAAATGGTGAACATAAGGCATAATCTTATCGGTCACCCCCCAAGTAGCGATAAATCGATGAATCGGAAAAAAATCGAACAGTGATTTAAATCGATAATTTGTGTTCATTCACGTCGCAAAATTGTTCACAACAAGAGGAAATCCACAACACAAAATTGCCCTGATAAAAATCCACAACACGAAATTACCCTAGTAAGAATCCACAACTCAAACAACTAAAGCAACACGATCTCTCAAAGGTAAAATAGCTTAGACAATGTGCAACGACTGCTGGTGGTTCCGGGTGTCTGCTAGTTCCCAACTTTGGGAATTTAACTAGGAATATTTGTGTCATGTTCATGTTCTTCTTCTTCCGTTGTCTTCTTGCGAAGCTCTGTTATCAGAATGGCAGTTGCGGAGCACCTTGCCCCATCTGGAGTCAGATGAGGACCACCAGTGATGCTCATGTCATAACCAGGGCATGTAAAATGTGCATGGGCATGGAACATTCCTGAACGGATATGAAAAGGACTGGTTAATAAGTGCTTGAAACAATGTGTGAGAAGATGATAAGCAATCAAACAACAATTATTTGTTATTGCTAGCTTGGAACATATTCAGTTTCGGACAACTAATTGCAATACAGTGAATAGATCTGATCTTTCATAGAGCCTACGAGGGTACAGACAAAATATTTGGCAATCTTCAATAGAACCATGGCGTTAAATAAACCTAACAATACAACATAGCAACAAGTGGTTGTCTATTCTTTTTAAAAGTGGTTGTCTATTGACATGACCACTTGAAAACTCTTTTTCTTAGGCATGATTAGTGTAGTACACCATGTATGTTGTTATTTCAATTCATGAAACTAACCGGGAACTATAGGGATTGAATTCAATAGATGCTACATTGAAAATAAGTGGCATAAGACCCATTTGTATGAAACTCTTAATTATTGTTTCTATATGGTCGAAGAACCCAATGCTTGTCCATGTAGAAAATTAAATAGATAAAAGTAAATATATTTATACATACCATCTTCTAGTGAAGGTAATACTGTGTATCTTGGGGGTATACACTTGATGTCACGGCAGATCTCGTTGAGCTCCTGCATTGATAAGTGTCAACGGTACATGTGCAATTTAACATCCTTATGCAGCATTTCAGCTCGAGGTTTCTTACCTGGCACTTATTGTGGAGGAGTGCCTCCTTCATTGTCTTCCTCTTTTTTCTCCTAGTTTTGTCACCATCTCCACAACAAGATGGATTGGCAACTTCCATCATATTTGAGCTAGTTCCCTTATACTTTCCATTATTGCCAACAGTTTAGGTGTCATTTTCCCTTCTGCACAATTTTTAAACATGATGGGTAATGGAAATGTAGAATAAATATGGAAATAAATTCTTTCAAAAAAAAACAACAACACTTCTGACAGATGAATGCATGTCAGAAAGTGTGGCGGACGATTTGTCCACAATTTAAAAGTGTGGTACACCACCATTTAACACAAAACTTTGGGAAAGGTATGGCTCCCAGCAAAACACACCCACAATGTTTGCCAAAAAACTATAAAAAATCCTACATGTGAGTATCACTTGGACTATGTTTAGATGTTAAGAATGGTAGAATACCATTCAAGATATTCTGAATGTCCATATCACATTGAGCACTTCGATCTTGAAGTATGTGTTCCTTATGAAGCTGAAACAAAAAAGGAATGAGTTCACATCAGATTCTCAAATAGAACAAAACACAAGAAAAATAAGCACAGTTTTTCCTGAAATAGAAGAGAAGACATACAATATTATCCCGTGTTTTCAGAATTGGTCGCAGTAAATCATTCATCTGATCATTGTTGTTCTCAGTGATGTCGCCTTCAATGAAATTTAGAAATTACATAAGTTAATAACTTGGAGGATCAATAACAAATAGTAGGGAAGACAAGATGTGTTTAGATCCCAACTTGACTTCTTAGGCACTTCCATGATTTGGCTTTCCAAAGCAGCATCCTTCAGTACAGCATCCATAGGTGTTGCCTGGTACAACAATCATTATTCAAGTTGAATCAGAGTAAATGAATCATATAAATAACTTGGCCCATCACCTACAAGCCATACGGAACTAGTATTAGCTAAGTGATCTTTCCAATAAAAAAGTATAGTGGCTATTTGGTCACCAAAAAATGTTATGATCGCCATACATTGTTGGTAGATGAAACCAACGGATAACTTTTAACAACTAAAGAACATAATAGTTGAACATTTCGGTGGTACATTCTTATGGTTGCATCATTTAGAAAATGGTTTGAGCGCTGCTGGGTTCTCCCAGTTTTGTAAGTATATGAATAAGTATAGTATTTTTTGAGGGGAATGAACAAGTACAGTTTGACAGAGAAAACCAAAAAGTACCATATGCTGTAGTTGAAAAGACGAGCACACAAACTAAGAAGGACGGGGTTTGCCGCTTGTTGTGGTTGCCTACCGTATCCCTAGGCCCAGCTGCTGTACCGATGCCCGGGCGTACGTCAATGTGCGCCCATGTGACTCATCGCCCGGGGCCATGCTCCGACGTGATGCGCCTTCTCCACCGCCGAACAGGAGGCAAGATCAGGCCGCTGCCGCCATCTCCATCGCTTAGCTAACATTCCCTTTATTTTCCTTTTGAGGCGAGACCAAGCGCCAGGCACACAGACAAGGCAAGAGTGCATGTTCGGGTTGGGCCTCCAAAATGCGCATCGAGGCTCACTACTACACAATTAAGGCAACCCGCCATCTTTAACCCAGTAAACTAATACATCTTGTTTCTAAAGAAGAAGAAACTATCACATCTGGCACGCATCCCCCCTAACCTTCTGTTTAAAGAAACTTTAAGTTGGTGCCAAATTGATAAGCACCTTCGGCACGGTGTTCGGACGCCAGATAGACTGCACCGCCTCCGGCGAGGCAAGGGCGACGCGCCTTCCGCCGGATCCATGCGCCACTTCGGCGGACGCAATGGATTTCAGGTGGATGAAGTCCGACTGCTGTCCGGCGTACTCCTCTCGTGCGCGGCGGAGCGCAACATGGACGGTCATCTCCTCCTCGGGGTCGCCTGGGACAATCTCCCGGCAGTCAACGGGGGAGGTGTAAGACTCGGATCCACGGCCCGCCATGTCAGAGAAGGGCAGAGATCGTCAGAAGTAAGCTTTTGGGCGGAGGGAAGTGGAGGGGAGGGTGGAGTGCGGCTAGGGTTTCATCCGGAGTGCAGACATGGATGAATATATGTGGGGTCGGATGCGCCACAGTGGGCCAGATTGTACACATTGTCGTCCTGACGCAGCGGGTGGGCCATAGTGGACGTATTTGGGCCGAATGCGAGGGGTCCGGTTGGGTGGCAATTTTGCATCTGGACAGTGACTGGGCAGGCCCTCCGGAAGTTTGGCACGCATATAAGGTGTCCGGTTGTAGAATCTCTAAGGGTCGACATAACTATTATCTCCTAGGAAGTAATGTACCATCATTGCCCTTCGAAAGGTTATTATGGACTTTATACTGTCATAGACGAATCTGGAAAGTTAATATTTTGCTTTTGTGAATTAGGACAGTTGATATTAGAATAACTATTTTCCTACCCAAGAATATTACATGCGTGCTGAGTGATGTCATCTTTAATTTTCAGTTAAATTTCCATTTGAACTATGCATGTCATGAACGTAACAAGTACAAATGCACCAACCTTTTGTTAAAGAAATTCCGGCAAGTGTTAACCTTTTGCTAAACTTCTAGAGTTGTCAATTGAATCAATGCAAGTAATATGATAAATGTAGCAAAAATGACATTTTATTTCTTGATAAAAACAACTCAAAACTCAATTGTGAATTTTCTGATAATCCAACAAAGTAACACATTCATTCTAGTGTTTCGCACCTTTGTATTTAGAAAATAATGACGGCAAGCGTTTGGTGTTCCGCCGCCCGATGCGACACGATGCATTGTTACTACTAGCAAAAGGACCCGTGCATTTTCATGGGAGAAAACAAAAATCATAATCTGCAATGGCGATGACAATATTTTACTGCATAACCCAGATACACTATCACTATCAATTTCGTGTAATCATGATTAATTTTTCAAATCATGAACTGTTTTTTAAACTCGTGCACTTATTTAAAATCATGAATATTTTTCAAATTCGTGAACACTTATACAATTTTTTGAACATTTTCTAAAATAAAGAACATTTTTGAATTCTTGAACATTTTATACTATTTGCAAACCTTTTATTTCAATTGTGAACATTTTTTAAACAATTTTCTTGAATCAACGAACATTTGCATAGAAATTGGTGGAACAATGTTTGAAATTCACGAATATTTTTTTGATTTAATGAACATTTTTTGAAATGCATGATCATTTTTTGAATTAGCGAACATTTTATGAATGAATAAACTATTTTGTAAGTCATGAACAGTTTTTTGAACTTTTAGGATGTTTTTTCATTCATGAACATCTTTTGAATTTGCAAAAGTTTGTACAATTTTATTAATTTTTTTAATACACAAACTTTTTGAAAAGTCATGAACATTTTTTAATTTCCTGAACATTCTTTTTCAAAATTTGAACCTTTATTGAATAAGCAAACATTTTTTACAACGAATATTTTTTGAATCCACAAAAAAATTATGATTTATTAAACATTTTATTTTTTAAATACTCATTTTTTTTAAATTTTCAAAACTTTTTGGAAATCCTAAATTATATAAAGTAGAAAAAACATAAACGAAAAAAGGGGAAAACAGGCTGCCCGGACATGGGCCGACCCAAACGGCCGTGTTCTCCCAGCATGCAGAGCGCAATATAGGAGGTACCTACTTTATGGGCCGGCCCAGGCGGGGATTCCCTTGTGTAAAATATTTTTTATCACTTATAGATGGCATGGGTGCGTAATATTTTGCAAATTTGGGGACAATTTTGATGACGCATCGTTAGAAGGAATAACCCTTTTATTATTAGGTAGAGGTAGAGAGGTAGAGATAGAGATAGAGGTGTGTTTTTGTTAGCGTCGTAGTCATTCTTGAGGCCATCGTTTCTGGAGTTTTTTCAAGTCGAAGGGACTAGCGACGCCGGCGACGCATGGCCTGATGGCGCGACTGCCGATGAAAATCGCACTGACTATGGTCATGGTAGACTATGGCGGCGTCTCCGATGTTGTTTCCTGGTTGAGGCATCGTCGTTGCAGTTTGCGTCATCATGCTCGGAAAACTCTAGGGGAAATACTAGATCTCATTGGGTCGTGCGATGGCAGTGCTTTTACGTCGTAGTCCTTGAGGATATCTTTAGGACCGCAATATACAACCGGCCGTGGCGGGGCGGGTGGCCAGTGCTAGCGACAACCACGAATGGTGTAGTACAGGACCTGCGGCGGGTGCCCATCAGCAAGATCAACATGAGTTTTTCGTTCAGCTTCACATGACTGTTGTCGTCACGTGACTTATCGTCAAGGTCCATGTCGTCTCCTCTGACGCCGGCTTCACACTCTCCGCGTTCCTCTTCAAACTCAGTGTTGATTTATGAACGAGAAATTGACTTTGTCTATTTCTGAATTCCTAATGTTATACATTGAGTTCAATTGTCGGTCGTGTACACAATGCAACATTTTATTTCTAAGTTATGAACCTGTGCATATAGCTACATATACTATAGTGAATTCCACATACAAGTCAATCGAAAGAGTAGACCTAGAGATAATTTAACATAGATTCGATTACTGCTTGTATATGAATGCACTTTGTTCAGATCGGATCAACTTTATCACATAATTAGAATATGTATCCTCATATCAACCAGAAAGTAACATAGTGACATAATCGTGGAGATGCAACATGGGGAGAGGGAGTTCGAGGAAGCCAACACTGGAGCGGCGACACCATCAGGACCGTAGAGGGGACACCTGAGAGCTAGGTGATATTGGTAGCCGGAGGAGGGGTGGCGAGTGTGGTAGGTGGGGAGGCAAGGTGAGGTTGGTGCTGCTGGATCGTGGAGGAGGTTTACTTGAAGTGTGAGAAGTAGTATTTTGTTTCGGTACAACAGTTTAGCTAAGTCTACCATTCACTTGAGATTATGTGGGATGTGGCATGTCCACTTGTCCCATCAAAAAATATTTGGACACAGTGGAGCTGACATTTATATTATGTGGTAGATGTGGAAGTGGATGGGGATGGGGATTGGGGTTGGTATGTTTAGTTACAGTTGATTGAGAGGAATAATTCCCATACTTTCAAAAATGGGGTAAATTATATTTCATT